CCCCCCCCCCCCCCCCCCCCCCCCCCCATTGAAATGGAAGCTGATGAGACAGGCTCCAGGAGAGGGAACCTACAGCACAGGACATGACTGACTGGTGAATGTAAATACTGCATAATGTCACATACATGCAACTGCCCCCCCCCCCCCCCCCAAAATGAACTGCAGGGGAAAACAAGAGGGGGGTGAACTCACCACGAGCTGCACTCTGCCTCCATTCAGGACGTCTGAGCTGATCTCCGGTAAGAAATGCACGCTGAGGATAAGATAACGTTAAAAAACATTTTCAGATCAATTCAGCAGTTTCCCCTTTTCAGTTTGATGCAATTACCTCTGACATATAAAAGAAACACAGATAATCTTAATGATTTGTTAGGTAGAGGGTAGCACAGGCCTACATGCTCACTGCCCGTTACAGACACTTTGATGTGTCAGCTCTATCTCTTTTGCTGCTTTGCTGGTACTTTGCCCTTCGGCATAAAAAAAAAGATTCAGCACTGAACAAATAATTAAATTTTAACACATACTATAATAATATACTGTAATAATAACACCCACTGCTTTTTAAAAGTAATGACTAGAAATAAAAAAAGTCTCTCTTGACTCAAAAATGTGTTTTTCTTAAAGACCATTTTACAGTTTGTAAACCATGATGATGTCTGTAAGTGAAGCACGCAGTTTGGCTACGGAAGCACGGCGGAGTGCAATAGATTGTCATGCTATGCAAGGGCATTAACCACCAAAGATGGTGAATGCAACCTCAACAAATTGACCTTCCAGATCCGTGTCCTCCTAATGAGTGTGTAGAATATTTAGTGACCAGATAAATACACGTATTTGGTGGAGAAACCTAGCGTGTAAAGTTACAGTGAGACATTACGAGCTACAAGTCACTAAACTACGTTATCTGTGGTCATGTACAGAACGTCCAGCACCGTGACATGGACTCAGAGGTTTATTGAGTTCTATCTGTCAAGTGGTAGTCAACACGTTTAATAGCTTGCAGCTATTAAAGCTTGCTAACTCTTCTGGATGGCTGGGGAATAACCTCACTTTAATTGCCAACATATTTTACAATATTTTTGATGACGTCAGCTGTAAAAGGGTCTGTTGCTACTTGGACTGTTGATGTGCATGAAGAAGGAGACATCTTGTGTCTAGCTGTTCAACTTTTGAGATGAAAACTATCTGTGTATTTAAAGATTTTGCAATAAAACAAGTACATTTGTGTTGCTCAGAGCATTAAAATGTTTGATTTTGATGAAGCTCATCAGCAAAAACAATGGCCCAGTTACGCAGGACAATCCACAAACCTCGCTGTGAAATAACAGAGACGCACATCTAAACACCTGACCAGATAACAGCAAAACCTTTTGCCTCACCCCTCTGAGTCCCTGTCAGGATGAGCAGCCCGGGTCTGCAGCCACTGCTGAGCTCGTTCCCGCTTCACTCGCTCCACCTTCTCTGCGTGCTGAAGGCCCGGCTCAGCCTCGCGACCTGCACTCCACAGAAAACAAATCAACGTCACATGCCATTTCTGTCTTATCTTTTCGGTCAGTGAAATAACATCCTTGATGACAACGGTAGTAAAGAATGAGTGCCCTGCTTAATCAGTGAATGTTGCGGTGAAGGTTCGAAATGACAAGAGGCTCCATCAACACCGTAGTAAAGGATTTGTGTTAACATGCTTAACAAATAAATAGCTCTGATCTGCAGCAACGTCTGACATGTTTCACTGTAATTACAGCCGGCCAGGGTTCCCAGCACTGGGAGAGTCAGTGGTCAAAGCTCCCGGCGTTTATGTTTGGGCTTAAGGTGGTGTATGTGTTTGGAGGACTCTGGGGTGTTATTATATTATAATGTGTTTAAAGTTGCTGAAAGATGCAACAGGAGATGATCTGCTGTTTCCGACAATTGCTGGAGCTTGTGGTTCTTCGGTAAAAATGTAATCCAAGCAATGTTCCAACAGTTTGTTAAAGAAAGACGTCCGAGAGGCCACTGATTTACGAGCGAAGCTGAAATCCCATAATAAGATCATAATTCAAAGTAAACATTTATGTTGCGCTGACAGTCAGGCTGCCGTGGATGGGTGTGAACTGATAATGACTTTGGACAGGCCAATGCTGGAACTAATGATGCATTTATTTAAGTCATTTACTTGCTTTTACTGAGCTGTAAAAAAAGAAAAAGGAGAAGAAAAGTTTTACAGTTTTCATGGGTTAATTGAGAAGCCCCACTAAAAATGTCAAGTGATAGATGCTTTCCCCCCCGGGGCAGCAAAGGCCAGAAAGTGGCTACTCGCACTTCCCAAAGCTCAAAAACACACAGAGTGACGGGGAACGGGCAGTCGAGAAAAAAACACTCAGAGCAATATGTTTTTTTAAACAGCAACTTGGTCATCTCCTGCACTGAGTACAGCACTCCAAACAAGGGTTGTGTGCCATGTCTGCATTCATTATCTTAGGATCCTGTACGGATAGTTGAAAGGTTACAAAGGAAGACTGATGATGAATATTAACTCATCAGAGAGGGGAATGTAGCTATGGCATGTGAACGCGGTGATACAAGATGAGCAATATTTTTTTTTAAAGTCACATTTATGTTGCACTCCAGTAGCACGGAGACTCTCCTCTCACTTTCCCTCTCTGAACTCTCCACGAAAGCCCCCTCCTGACCCCTTCCAACCTCCTGAATCCCCCTCCAGTGCTCCTCCAGGACATCGGGGGGGCTGTAGGAGTCACGCCTGTTAAGAGAGGCTCTTAAGCACATTAGGCGATCTCGTCCCTGCTGAGGGGAGAGCTCTGACATACTATCAGAGACTTGGGGAGGAGGAGGGGGAGGAGGCTTTGGCCCGCAGCAAAGTGTGAAATGGTGCCATGAATGAGTTGATGAGCATCAGACAGTCAGACTGGAAACAACCAGGTTATAAACAAGCCAAAGGTTCAGATTGTACGTGACAAGGGTTGAGAACACCTGTAATGTTAGTAATGATTCTGTATTGCACATTAAGACTTGTGTGCACACACATCTACAGCAATTATGGTAAATCAGCAAGTAAGCTGAAGCACAAAGTCACTGTCCAAGAGATATTTGAGTATTAAGCTCTCAGTATGCTTAAAAACAAACGTGTGTGACGTGCACTCAGTTGCAAACAAAAAGTGACGGATGTAGTTGTGTAAAGAACGAAAAAAGGAAGAAGCTCAAACGCTGCTTCTCACCTCCGCAAAACCATCTTGAATGAGGTGGGATTGTTGGATTGTCTGTGAAAAGGTTTTGCTCATGAAGTCTTGTGCTAAATCCGCCCTAAAGAGCATGAAACTTGGCTCTGGTATATTTCAAACTTGTCCCATAAGACTTAAAAACAGTTAAACTACGGCTACCCTTACCTGGTTTTGTATTGCTTCAAGAAAATAGTTTTGTGAGCCTTGTTTTCACGGCATTTGCAGAGTGGAAGAAGGATCGCAGTGTTCTTAGTCTGTTGTCTGTCTCTGTGAGTGACTCAGACTGCTGCCCAACAGTGCTTTGGCTCTGGATGTTCCAGTGCATCTCAAACACATGAGAAGGAACCTCCGCTGCCTGAGATAAATAGAAGCCCTGAGAATACGGGGCTGAAATTGAATGCACATGAATGGTGGTAAACAGCCTGACATTAAGTTATTTTGGATGATGGATGGTAAACAAGATGATTGTGTTTCAGCCGGACTTTGTAGATGACTTGAAGTGTGAAATCGAGTTAAGTGCTCAGGAGGTCGGGGTTCCAGGCTGAAATAAAAATATATACCCGCCTGTCCCTCTGACTTGAGGACGGATGTTTGGTGGGGTTGGATCGCAGTTTGGATGGAAGGAGGAGGTTGGAAGGGGGTGTGTGTTAGCCTGGGGGGTGAGTGCAAGGCGTTGGTGGAAAGTAAGAGGCGAAACGAGGAGAAAACGCTTGGAGGCACACAACATCTTCAACATCTGCAGCACCCAGACACTTGATGATACAAAAAAAAAAAAATAGGGTGGTGTATTTCTACATTTTTTTGCCTCTAAAAGAAAATGTTTTGTGGCTCTGCTCCACTCTCTCCCTCTCTGGGTATGTAAGCCGATACCCATTTCAAGTGGGTTACTCATGTCCAGCACATCCACACAAAGAGCCCGGATAAAATAAACATGGCGCGTCGGATATCTTGGAAAGAATCTGTCATGGGTTTGGGGCTAATCACCTCCAGAAGGAGGGCTTGACTCAAAGCCTGAAACGTTAGCCCCTGTCGGGGAGCGCTGGCTGGGCCGGGCTGGGCTGGCTAGTCCCCGGGCACTGGGGATGGATCCGGAGGAGGGGGTGCCTCCCACAGGTCAGGACCAGGGGAGCAGGAGGGGAGGCTGGCTTGGGCCCCGTTTACAGAGAGCGGCGACGCACCGCCGCCGCCGCCGCCTCATGGTCACCCTGTAAAAAGGCAGCAGGAGTGGTCTCCTCTGGAACCGAGCTGGTTAGAGTTACACGTTTTACAGGATCCCTCTCAGTTGAATATAAAAAAATTTAAAACACGACTGAGGCACAAGGAGCATTAAGCAGAGGGGAGGGCGATGTTCTAACAAGTGACCCCCGTTCCTTTATCAGCTGATGTAGCTGCTTCACCTCGTTGCTCGAGAACAACAGACCCGTTTGACGAATTATCGGGACGTGGGTGGAGAGGAGAGATAAGGATATCGGAAAGAAACAGAACTGGAAATATTGTTGTCGTGAAATCGGTCATTTGGATGCAACCGGCCCTCGACTGCCAGTTGGCTGAGAGCTTATCCACGGCTATATTGTGCTCAGACACGATTTCAGTGTCAGTAATCACAGTGTCAGACACTTGACATTTTACACCTGAAGTTCACAATTAACACGTGATAACAAAATGATACTGTCATACTCAAAACTCAGCTTCAGTACAAAAAGTTATTGGTAATGTTAAAGATGTTTGTCCATCATTGACTGATGAAAGTGTCTTATAAGTTTGGAGTTGTTGCTCGATCTTTGGCTGCACAGCAGTGAATCAGTCTTGAGGGAAACGAGGCGACTCCTTCACAACTATTCTGCAAACAAAGTACGAAAGCGATCCGCCCAACAGAGATAAAGTGGAACGGAAAACATCCCAAAGTTGAAGCTTTTTTTTTTTTAAACCGTAACATGAAATGACAAGCAAACACACTGTGTTTCTCCGCAGCTAATTGAGGGGTATTTCATGCTCATGGCAGCGCTGGACTCGGACCAGTCACTTCGCTGCCTGGTGGAGAACGCTGTTGGTTCCAGCGTCACTCTGACTGCTGGATGACCGCGAGCGACCGTGGATCTCTCTGGATGTAAGGCCTTGACCCTAGTGGGTGGGGGCGCGGGGGTCGGGGTGCAGAGGAAAGACGGAGACAGGCATGATAAAAGCCAAGCACCCCCCCCCCCCCCCACCCCATCCTCCCTCTTGCCCTCCCTCCAGCTCTTCCCTCCCTTTTAAGTCTGGCTGTGGACGTCATAATGCCAGATCATCTCTCCACCCCGGGGCAGGGCAGGAGGCCACAGCAGGACAGATGGAGAGAGAAGTTTTCCTCGTCTCGGACTATCAGACTACTTTGCACCAAAGCCAACCTGCGGACTCTTTTGCGGTTGTTTTTAATATCCATAACAAAAAAGTTTACGCCTTGAGGAAGAAAAAACATCATCTTTGATAAGTTCTTTGATAAGCAGAGGATGTACTTCCTGAGGCAGCTGAAGAAACTCAACCTGCCAAAGACAATGATGGTGCATTTCTACACAGCCATCATTGAGTCCATCCTCTGCTCCTCCATCACAGTCTGGTACGCTGCAGCCACTGCCAAGGACAAGGGTAGGCTGCAGCGCATCATTCGCTCTGCCGAGAGGGTGATTGGCTGCAATCTGCCGTCCCTCCAGGACTTGTTCGCTTCAAGGTCCCTGAAGCGAGCAAAGAAGATTGTAGCCGACCCCTCTCACCCTGGACATAAACTGTTTGTGCCACTTCCATCTGGTAGGAGGCCGAGGTCCATCAGGACCAAGACCTCACGCCACAGGAACAGCTTCTTCCCGTCCGCAGTCGGGCTCATTAACAGAGCCCGGGTCCCCCACTGACTCTGTCACCCCAGGACAAATTCCCACCGGTCACTCCCCTGCATCCCTTCTATTACACTCGACACTTTACACTACACTTACATCTCACTTGTTTATAGTCCTGTCGTCTGTTCGTTGTTTATAGTCCTGTTATCTGTTCGTTTGTGCACTTTATTTTAGATTTCACTTTATTTTATATTTAATTTATTTTACATCTTACTTTATTTCATATTTCATATCTCTTGTAAATTTTAATGTTTCTACTTGCACTGATTGTTGTTGATTGTTAAATGTTTGCACCTCCCGTCACGCCAAATTCCTTGTATGTTCAACATACATGGCAATAAACGGTTCTGATTCAAACCTTTTTGGGTGTGAAACCACTCAAAAAGGTGAAGTAGGTTATACTCACACTTACATTAAAAGAGAAATTCCAGTTTCATACAACCTGGGTCTTATTTTTGTATGTGCTGTTGTGGCCATAATCCTCTTGATGATAAAAAACAAATGTGTGATCGCTTACTGCTGATGCTTCTTGTCCAGAAACGTGACAGACTTTCATACGTCATAGCAGTGTTTTTTTTACAATGACCAGCGAGGTCAGATAACTGTTTTGGTCAATGGAGTCTTGTGGCTTTAAAGAGAGAATCTAACGGCGGCTTCTTTTCACATCTAACTCGATGAATTAAGAGTTCATTTCGACCCAACCAGAGTTGGTGATCGTTGGAACGTTTTGATGAGTTTTACTTTGTTTCTGTCGGGTTTGTAGGTATCGATGACTGTCTGACTGGACTCTGGTGGCTTTGAGGAGAACATATTAATCGTATGTTTTGTATGTTAATGAATTATAATGATTGCCCAAATCCCTGTTGATTTTTATTTATTATATATTCACCGCAACGCACGTCACATAGCATCGCAACGAAAGAATGGGCAAAAACGTGCGTGTCCACCCGGGTGTCATGTTTCCATCACTGCCGATTGGAGCTGGAGCCGATAAATACAATAAATGAATATCAATTGTAAACTTTCCCACTGAAGACAAAAGCCAGATGTTAGTGGGTGTTAGTGTTTTATGTCCTTTGGGAAAGGGGCTTAAGAAAGACTCTTCACTGGTGTTTCTGCAGGGTTACCAAATGTGTAGCAGGTCTCAAATCTTACCTTTTATATCACTCCTGTTGTGTGGTGCCGGCCTGTTTCGTGCCGCCACTGGACCCAGCGGGTAACTGCAGTTTCTGAGGGCAAGACGGACGGAGGGATCTAGCAGAGAGAGAGAGAGCGAGAGAGAGAGAGAGAGGGTCAAAGAAGGACAAGGCAGGCCTAAAACCAGAAGCAGAGAACCAGGACCAAACATTCTGAAACATTTAGAACAGAGCTCTGGTTCCACTGTGGAATGGAAGATGCCATTAGGAGTTAGTGCAGACATAGACCTGTGTGTCGGTGGAGCAAGATGACAAGAGCCCCCGCTATTGGACTCATGCATTCGCAAGTGTGATCAAAGAGCAGCCTGCCTCTACATGACGGTGGCATGATAATCGCGGCAGGACTACTGTTTCTCGGCGCAGAGCGGAGGTGAGGTCACCTTTCACCGCAGACGCACCCAACCACTACAATGAAGCGGAATGAAAGTCATCACGGGATGACTTGTCAAGAGGTTTCCTGGCAATCTTTATTTCCTTTGCAGCCTCTTAAATAAGGCCCAATAGGAGGCGACAGGGCCTGGCTCCTGCTGTCTGTTATGGCTCGTTAACATACGCGGGGCGGAAAGGTTCGCCCGCTGAAGCACGGTTGAAAGACGAAGATGAAAAGAGGCAAAATCGAGACTTTTAGAAAATGGATTGAACAGCAGTTCCTTCCATAGTGTGAGGGATATTTGGTGTAAAATGTTAGGAATGAGGAGACAGGTAGACACATCAGTTCAGGTGTAGGAGGGTAACTGAACAAAGGAAGCTTTGCATGTTCGGCTTCTGATCAGCCCTCATAATCTTTACATTTTTCATATTTCATATAGTATAATGTATGAAAATGATTCGGTTAGACCTGAAATATTACACCAGAAAAAGAAGAGGTGGTTCTGATATTCAGCCTACCCTCATTGATATAAATGAGGTGGACAAAATAATAGAAACTAAACTTTAGCCAAGTGTACCTTATGAACTGGCAACTGAGTGTATATTTATATCTATTCCGTTCTGCACACACTCACCTTTACGTTTCATCTGCCACTGCGTCTTCGACTTCATATTCTGAGCTCTCTTGAGCATCAGAAGAGCCGTGTGGCTGTCGGTGAAGCCCCTGGAGACAACGAGGGTCACTCAATGAAATAACACACACACACACACACACACACACACACACACACACACACTTACAGGAGACAGTGTACGATGAGACGAGGATTTACCATTCTTCCAGAATCTTTTCTGATCGTTCAGAGAGACCGCTGAGCACCGACGTCGAAGCAGGAGATTTGCTGCTGAAATCATTAAAAGTCCTTAAAAGGAGATCATAATATGCAGAAATTCAGAAATATGACCACACATATTTATCAACCATCATATTGATATGGCACCTGTTGAAAACAGTAGAACTTTCGACGATATCAACTTATGAATAAGGATTCTTCCTTGACTTTGAGAAACCTCTAATGTAGACTTGAGTTGTCAGGAAATCAATTTATATCTAGTTTCAACATAACTGTAGTGTGGTTGATTTTGTGTATTGCTTGCTGAATATTATCTGTTTAATATTGTGTTACTCATGTTGTTCAACTCTGTTTATTGCACTTTAATACAAACTTGCATGTACTTTGGTACTGTAACAAATACTATTTCATGTCTTTTGCACAAGTGTACTGAGGAACGACAATCATCATTCTCAGAGTGATCCAGGTAGAGTCAGTACACTGAAAGTGAGAACATGAGGAGCCCAGATAAGATCTCTGGCTAACACCTTCAATGTATTCACCAACTTACTGTGACTTTGATTTTCTACCGTGTACACACTCGCACTGCATTGTTGTGATATCAACAAAAAAACACTTTTTACTGTAGCTGTAACTACTTGGATTTTTTTCTTTCTCTGTATCAAATGACTTAGGCTTATAATTAAGTGGGTTGGTCTACCTGTTGGAGCTCTCTGGGGAAACTCTCTGTCCATCAGAGTCCACCTGTTCTCCAGGCAGCCAGGCCTGCTTTGGCCTCCATACAGGTGTTGATGGGAGGATGTACTGGGAGGGTTCAGGAAAGTGCCCAGGAGGCTGAAACACGTACATGAATCAGTGTCAGCAATAATTTAGGAGTATTTTTTTAATACCTTGTTTTTTTTTTTAGACAGAGGTATATATACAGTATATATATATATATATATATATATAGCTGCCAAAGAGTTTTTCATTTACTGGAGCGGTTGTTTACTTTTAGATTTAAAATGTTAACATCTGCCAGAATAAAAACTGAATCCTCATTTGAGACGTGTTCAGAAGGCTGTAACGCTGGAGCTCTAAATGGAAAAGTTTAATCTCTGTCTGGACAACTGTCTGTCTGTCTGGACAACTCAGTATATTTTGAATAAATGGGAAAATGAAATATAGTGGATACAATATTCATTCAAATGTGTGCATGTTTTCTTTTTAGGTATTTGGCTCCCACCGCTTTTACATCCATATGTAAGTCAAACTAACAGCTTAATATCTCTGCAGATCCCATTTTCTCTTTGTGGAAGCGCTAAATTGTTCATCCCCGTCTTTGATGTGTACCTCAGTGTCAACACGCTGAGGCCCGGCCATGACGGCAGCTGCACCCCGTCAGCTGGCCTAGACCGGCCACCATGATGTACAGCGCTGAGCACGCTCCAAAGAAAAGATCCAACGAGAGGTAAATGAAGGGGGGGGGGGGGACAGGACGACAGTCTGCCAGCGTGAAAAATGACATCTGCTGGTGCAGAGCAACCTTCAGCCCCTCCAGGAAATAATCTTGTTTTTCGAGAGAGTAAATTTAAAGATCAATCAGGGAGAGTGAGACAAATCCTGGAGGGGGCGATAACCCAGATGAGAAAGGGACAGGGCAAGAAAATAACTCTTCCACTGACATCACACGGGGCTGGTGTTTCCCAAGATTCACCATGTTAAGAGTATCAACCAATGTCCTGTTTCCTTACCTTCAGAGACAGCGGCTGCTCTGATGCAGGGTAACGTCTGGGAGGTAAGTCCTCAGAAAACGACAATGTCCAGGGTTTCTCCAGCGCTTCCTTTTTGAAATAAAAAAAAATCTTTTTATATATATATATATATATATATATAGACTGCAACAACAGTATTGCATTGCTAGGTAACAGCTTGGGTCCATTTATACTTCCTGTCAGTGTTTAACTAACTGTGAATACTTCTGGATTCCAGGTGAGGAAGAACAAAGCAAGGTGTTCTCAGATCCAAACATATAATACAAAAGCATAATAATGTATATATTATATTATAATGAAGTGTCAAGAACAAGTTAAAATGATAGCTCATACAAATTTGTGGATTTGGGTTTTGTGTGCTGTGTGTGTTGTATGGGTGTACATGCAAGTTGCATTATTGTTTGTCTTTTTTTTGTGTATGTGCCCAAACTTGCATGACTGTCGATTTATGTGTCTTTTTTTCAGCACATGTGCAGGTTTTTGTGCGTGTGTGTGCATGTCTCTGTGTCTCCGTATGTGTTTTTGCAGATGTGTAGGATTGTGTGGGTGTGTATGGAAACAATGTTGGGTAAGTATATTTGTGCATTTACAGATTTTTGTATCGTCCTCTGTGCAGGTTTGTGCGTCTGATGGGGCGTTGAGTTAAGGAATCACTGAACCCCGAACGTGAGGAACGCGTGAACTCGTGCGCATACCTCATCGAAGACGAATTCATCCACGTCCACCTCCTCAAAGGTGTCGTCGTCTCCGGCGTCGGGGCATGTGACAGCAGCCAGAGCAGATGCGAGCCTCCTCCTCAGAGCGAAGCCCCTCCAAAGCGCCTGGAGGTACCCGAAGAACAAATGGTAACAAGAAGAAGAAAAAACCCTCCATGAATCACGAGGCAAACGCAAATATTGTGTGTTATCCCATTAGAGAGATAAAACATGTTAACCTCTCTTTTAATTGCTGAGTGTTCTGCTGTCTGAACTCTGCGTGACTCCGGGCTCAGAGACAAATGGAGCTCCAGTGTGCCTCTAAATCCTCCAATTCCCAACGGGCTGCGGGGGGCACACTTCACTTCAAGTTGGGCCGACCAGGAATCCTAGAACTCTTACTACCGCACTTCTTTGGAATCTGATTAATCACTCCGTACCCCCCCCCCCCAACGCACACACACTGTTGTACTCCACCACCGCCCCCACCTTCTCCCTTAGAGAGCCCTAAAGGACTCATCAAACACTTTGTGTTGAGAGGGGATCGGAGAGAAGTGTTGAGCAGCATGTTTTTCAGAACAGCAGCTTACACCTATATATACAGAGGATTAGCCGAATAAGCCTCCATTGCACGTATGAGGCCTGAAGATGGATGCTCAACGGTGGAAATGGACATTTTCAGATATTCAGCCACAATACTAGAACATTCTAGTTGCAGCAGTGAGGTCCTTAATTATACACTGACGTTAGCAAGCAGTTTCTGTTCTATGCTAAGCTAGGCTGCGAAGTATTGAACGTTTGTTTGTTTATTTGTTTAATTCAGTAAAATGACTACCACATTTGACGATTCCAGCTTCTTAAATGTTCTGCTTTTTCTCTGTTTATTCATTTTTAAAGACTTTTGTGGCAGACGAAACAAGCAACCTGAAGACGTCACCTTAAGCAGGGGGACATTGTGATGGGCATTCTTCCCACAGACTTCACGATTAATAAATAAACCAAAAAATAGAATCAACCCATTGTTTGTATGTAGACCATATGTTTTTTGATCATTTCTTCTCTCTTTTATCTCTAAATTGTTAGTTGCTCTAATGCAGATTTCCTTAGACTGTCAATGCATCCATGGAAATAAAATCGAATAGATTAGGATTGACTGAACTCTCTCCAATCGACAATTATTAGCAAAATAAATCAAATAGGTTGATTCAATTCAGATGAGATTTTACACAGCCAGACTTAGCCAGACCATTGTCTCCAGCTCTGTACAAGCTCAGGACTAATGTCTGCCAGAACCTGTTGCTGCAGTGTTGGGAGAGAGAACATGCTCTACATTTGTATCTGTGAAACCAATCTGGGTTGTCAGTCTCTGTCCTCTCACGCTCTGTGTGGGTGTTTGGTAGGATGCGTAAGTTACATACTCTGCTCCATCTGGACTATTGTTTTCTAACATAGCTGCCATACTACACATAAGGAAGTTGTTCATACGTACAGTGACGGATTCTTTTTAAAATAGTATTCGAGGGAAACTGTTTAGGTGGAAGATGCAAAAACGGGTGTTGAGCCTGACTCAACTAGTTGGACTTCCCTCCTGTATAGTAAGTCAAACAAAAAGGTCAGTAATGTCGGACAGAACTCCAACAGTTTTACCTGGATGACAGTCGCTGCATAATCCGGGCCAACCACGCTGCCGTTAACGTAGGAAGGTCCTGACTCTGGCTTTCCTCCATCTCCTCCTCCTCCATCTCCCCCTCTTCCTCCCCCCTTCTCGGCCGTGGAGAGGCTGCTGATGTTCCCACATTTCTGTCTATATTTCTTCCACAGCTGCTGAATCACGACTGCTGCTGTGCTGCTCCAAAAAGGAGACACAGACACAGACACACACACACACACACACACAAAGTGAGGGATATACATGATGTCATAGCACCTTCATCTTTGAAAAGACGTGAATTTATTTCTGAGCAGACATCTGGAGAGCAGGACTCGGGAGAGTTCCAGCCTGTCCAGAGCCACCCCTCATATCAAAGATCTATCGTCCTCCCGCAGATAGTGCGGCATTAATGATAAAGCTGCGTGTTAAAATGAATAAGATGTTCGACATTCTGTGCTGTAAATCACACAGAGGAGGCTCCAATGAAGACGAATGCTCTGCAGCAGAAACTAATAAAACGCTATGATGCTCTAAACCGAGGAGGCCTAAAGGAGGAAAAGGAGATAACGCGACTTCATATTGCGTCACATCATTGGGGTACAACCCATAACTGGCGCACGATCATCAAAAATTAGAATGATTGATTTGTTTCACAGAGGCCTCCGCAGAGAGGGTGAGCATTACAATTCTGTCACTTATTGAAAAGATCTCAAATAAAAAGACCATAAACGAATGCTTTCTCTTTGAAAACGCTCTATTGTATGTCGGCCGCCATCCATTCGAGCGTACCCAAAAAGCTCTGTCAGGCCGAACGAAAAGAAATGGAAAATAAAAATGTCTACCGTGAAAAAAGGCTTACTGACTCAGAGCATCTTGGTGACTTACTTGTGAAGGTCCAGGTCTTGATTGTTGGACACAGGTGCCACTTCAAGACTGGAGGAAGTTGTTTTCATCTTTGTTGCCGAGGAGTGAACACTACCAGAGATGGCTTTGCTAACCGCTGGTCCCGTCTTTGGACCAACGGGGTCGAATGTGTCATGTCGACTCCAGTAGCTTCTTCTGTTTGGAAGAACTGGTGGAACTTTTCCAGCAGACTCCATTTCTGTGCGCACAGTACGCTTCTCAGCACGGTTACTGTCCACTTCTTCAGGTGTCGTTCGGCCTGCAGCCCTGTGTGTGTCAGCCACAGTGGTGTCACCATATTCATGGAAAAATCTCTGGTCCGTAGCCAGCTGCAGGACCTCAGTGAGGTGGCGGCAGGAGGTCTTCACAGCATCCAGGGACGACGAGGCACTGCTGTGAACATATGCACATAAAAACACACTGTTTTAGGTCAGAATACTCTTTTTACAATGTCAGCACTGATTAAACATTAGTGAACTAAACCTTTTCACCACGGCTGCACAAACTGCACATAGTAGATATATATTAGAAGTAGCAGTCTTCCTGTTCAAAAGGATGTTCATGTTAGTTTTAAGTCGATTTTGACTTAATTTGTGTTGCTCTGTGGTTACTTTGATTCAGTTTATTGGGACGAGTAATGATATAAGCAAATTATCGCAGAGCTGTGGGTCATTGGACTAGTTAAAACATGTATGAGGTGGATTCTGCACAGTTCAGATTAAATCACCCTACATACAGTATAAAGAATACTTTTTTGAAGACAATATATTTTTCGATGTTATTAAGGAAATCATAGCTATGATAAAGAAACTACACAAGCAGTATTTTCTCCTGCCGGATTATTTATTTATTTAAAAAAGAATCTGTGGCGTTGTGAATTTGAACCATTCAAAACCCATGACTGTCAGAGTAGTTTAGTTTGTGGCATACTGTCATCTGTCCCTTCCGCTGCACAGAAATATGTAATTAATGGAATATCAGATTTTGGTGATATTTAGTCTTTATTCTTGACCAGTTCACCCGAGGTAAGGTGAATGAACTGTGTGTGTGTGTGTGTGTGTGTGTGTGAGCAGCCCGTCTGCTCTGTGTGTGCCCTAATTCCATATAATGTCTCTTTCATTGAGGGGATAAACAGACTACAAAGCCACCTCAATGGAAACTTAATTCATCAATTAGCAAAAGCTTGGCTCTCCTGCTCCCTGAGGGGGCAGAGACGCTTCAGTGCCCAGCCGGTCTGGAGGGCCAGTAGCCTTAGGTAGTGCAGCTTCTTCTCCACAAAGACCCGGCTCTTCGTTCTCAGTGGGACAAGAGAGAGGGCAGTCGGGAGGTCCGAGAGGATTGTGACCCCACTGACCCCCCCCCCCCCCTACCTGCTGGTTCACTGCAGGGTCACCGTCGACATGTATACCACTGATATAAGAGAGCAGGAATGATCAAAAAAACATTTTAAAAAGTGTTAATATAAGTTATTTTTGACCAAAACTGAATTCTGTTCTACTGCATTAAGTTTGGTAGCAGCTAGGGGCAGAATGGGAATACAGAACATTAGAAGTAGTGAGAAACAGCAAGACATTTATTTTCCCCAAAAAAACCCTCGCATATTCTTTTATGGATTTCTCTATCATACATGTTCTCTCGGACACAGACATACTTTTTATTACGTTTTTTACAAACCTCTATGTTTGTGTTAAGAAAAGGAGATTTTCATTGCCCAGCTAAATTTATAAAACGTCCATTGTAGGTATAAAATAGAGGCATTCTGTAAGGAACAGAGGATTCAGCCTCCACTCAGCACCCTGTTGTGAAATGTTGTGAAACCATACCCCTGGTAAACCCCATGGCTTCCCACCTTACAGTCACCAGCGGGCTGGCGTGTGGCACTCCGCTCACCTCCTCTAAACCTCCGTCAGACACAAGGTCAGGCCAAGGGGTTAAATGGCTGTGTTGGTCCTTGCAAAGCCGGCAGAATGGCTCATTGTCCAGAGGCCAGGGGTGTGTGGGGGGGTAGAGGGTACACAGTGAGGGGTGAAGCCAAGGGAGCGCCACGCTACCCCCCCGAGCCATAGGAGTCCTCGGTGTGACCCGCGTGGGGCAGCCGCGTCCACGTTTCATCTTTTGTGCTGTGTAATTTGGAAGGGGTCACGAAGATAAGCAGAAAGTCGACCACCGTTTCAAGTGTTGGTGGTCCGTCTCGCACGGGAGCGTCAACGTGTGCAGAGGCCAGTGACACCAAAGGACTTGTGAAAATAGACGGACGTTGTCTTTAGGCTCACTACGCCCTGTGTATCAGACATAACAAGAAGATGGCTGACATTCCTGACTGCTTCGTGTCTGTCTGTCTGTCTGACAGGCTGATCAGCACAAGATGAAACGTGTAATGCGACCTCTTGTAAACAGGTTGGCAGTGATTTATATGACCTTATCCGGTTTCCTCATCCAAAATTCTACTCTGGTTGGTCATTTCATTTTATTTTTCTTTCCAAGTGCATTATAATTCCCTCTATGGTTCCACCCTTTCCTGTTCATTACTTATTTTTCTCTCTTTTTCTTAAAAGTACCATCAAACGTACAGTACTGATAAATAAACAGGCGTATTTTTTTGTGAAGGAAAACTTTAGATTTTCTGGTAATTTGGTGGATTTTTAGGTCATTTGGTGTGGAATTAATATGCTATCCGTGACATTGGAACTACAATACATTACCATTCATTACCCTTTTTCTATTGGGACACCTTGAAGCCAAATTTGAATGAACAAATCACAAATTAGTTGAGCCTTTCCCTCCTTCCATGCTTCAGAAATCAGTTCTGTGGACATTTCAGTTCAGAAAATATGAACTGTAAATGTTGGGAGTGACAGTATCCGACCACTTTCGTGGGCCGCTGCCAAGTCCTGCGCTCATCCACACACGAGCCACGCAGTCAGTCCGTCTCTCACCTGAGCTCCCTGCTGTGCTGCTGCTGTAGATCCCGAGTCTGCTGAAGCTGAGCCTGACAGAACTCTAGGAAGCTGCCCGAGGCCGGGCTGAGCTGCTGAACAGCGGGGGGCGTTAGAAAAGAGTCGGTCTGCTGGTCATCGATGGCCCTCAGGCCGGGCACTGCTCTCTGCAGAGTGGACCTGAAGAGGAGAGTTTTCTTACTATAATATCAATAAAAAGTATTTTAGTACAAGCAGTCTACTTAAATGGAAAAACACAATTTTCAGCCTAGAATTATATATTTTGAATATTTCTTTTTTGTTTTATGCATTTAAATAAAACAGAAAACTATGTGATTATGAACACGTTTGTTTTAAAAATCTTATTCAAATAAAAAATTAAACCATAATATGATATTGGCAGTTAATTTATTTGAAAAACATAATGAAGCTTTCTAATATATTTAAATCCATCTACTAAGACCGTTTTAGCTGACACATTCACCTCACGTTCAGTCCCTTGAGATGCTGTTGCTGGTAGTTCTACATAATAGAACAGCATTTATTAATGCACTCTTCGCCACTGCAGTGAATACAAACAGCTTGGTGATTTTGAATAAACAAAAGTTTATGCAAAGACAATGAAGGCTTTCGATTGCGGCATTAACATAACTCAAAAAAGAGGCTGAAATTTCTGCTGAGAGATTTCTCAAAATCAGATTCAAGTTAGAGAGGGTTTCAGTCAACGAGAAGGAACAAGACAATAAGCTTTTTACCAAACGGTGTCGTTGTAAACCCATATTGATATCTGTATAGCTCAATGGGTAGAACGTTTCTCTTACACTGACGGGTTAAAGCAGTCGTTCTGTTTAGTTTGACACATAAGAGTTTAAGGAGACTGTTTCGGGTCACTTATCGTGAGTGATGTTCTCTATGCTGGCTACACTGCACATTTTGACCTCTGGACTAATTTACAGAGAATATATTTTAAGACGTTAAAATATATTCTGAAAGTGTAGTTACACAGCAGCTCTGGATAAGAACTCTTCCCGTGGCGCACGTTAGGTAGCGTCAGCCTTCGAACGTGGAGGGGAGCCCCGAGTGGCTGTGAGTCTGGGGAAGAGATAACTGCCGCCCGAGGCGAAGGATGTCCAAGCAGAAGGAATCCCAACTATCTGCCAGAGAAACAGACTCAGAGCATCCACTGGTGGAGGCCAAATGTGGTCTGTGTTCAGTGGGAAAATGTGGAGCTGGAAACTCTACAGGACACCAGGGAACAGCAACAGTAAAACCTGTAAAAATACAAGCCTTCAGGCTACAAAGTCAAACTTTTTTAAACATTTTGGGCTTTTCAAAAGTTCCCAGAGCACCATTATTTCTTGTCTTGTCTATGAAACATGTTCTGAGGGTGAACGTTTCATTTCACCAGCTCATAAAGCTTCATTTTGTGAATATTTGAGCATTTCTTATTTATTCAAGATGTCTAAATTAGATTTTAAGGGTAGATCTTGCTGGATTAAAACACAGCTCCATTTGACTGTGATCATTAGTTCACAACAGTCTATACACCAAACTGAAGGTGCAACCAATAAAGACGAAGCAGAAGGCAAAGCATTATATCCAGTGAGAAAAAGCTGACGGTGGAGTAAACGTGGTGACCTTCTGATTCCGATTTGGATCATAAACCCTTTTCTTCAGACCCTTGCAGAGGATTTCACCCCGTATAAATGGTTCATACTGCACTCTGACAGCATGCAGAGCTTTCCCGTCCCCGCTGCCACCCTGAGACAAACATAACACAAGGACGGTATCCGTGCACTGTCAGAGGGATACATATTTTGATGTGGCCCACTTGGTCTCTCCGACACAGATCGGGGATTCGATTTCTACCGTTCGGGCATGTCGTCTGGCTGGCTGTCTTCAAATGAAGCTCCGAACCCAAATAGGACCTGTTGACGGTTACATGAGCTCATTGAGGTGGGGAATGTAATTGAATTTGGGAATGCACGCCACTTAAGACACACTTGGGAGGACGCAGAGCAGACCTATGTACAAATAATTGGATGCCATCGATGTGGATGTTTACGATGGATTCAATAATTGGGGAGTTTTCTCTCTGTGCTATGACGACCTCTGCAGTATACACTCAAAAGTCTTTTTGATGCATAAAGCGTTTTTCTTTTGGAGCAAACTGTGTATTTAAAAAGGTTGAATTCAAACAAATAAATTGAGAAGCCTCACAATTAAGATGCTATGAATCTCCTTGCAGCTATATCTACATTGACGATACTTCAACCTGATCCTTTCCAAAAATGAATATAAATTCCATCCTCCTTTCTGAGGGCAACACTGTTCTTGGCTCACATTCCTTCATCCTAGTCCTCCAGCCTCGTACGAGCACAAGTTCGTATTTCATTTAGTGAAGACTTCCTCCGACCCACATGCTCTCAAAGTGGCCCTGATTAATCAGGCCCAGTGTTTTCTTCTTCCACGTCTCCGGGATCAGGGGCTACCTACACAGGGAGCGTAATTCTCAGCGCTTGCCTCTTGGTGCTTTAATTTAGCCGGTGTTATCACTGGCTCGGGATGAAAGGGCCGGGGGCATGCGTGTGGAAATACCACTGTTGGCATTGGAGGTTAAGTAAAGTTCAATGAAATATTAAGGCTCAGTTAAGGCTTAAGAAAATGAAAAATGTCCACAAGTAACCCGTGTTTTGAGGATGTTTTTTGGACAGAGAATAACCCAAGAAGCATGAAAATAAAAACTAAAATGTTATGTTCAAACTGCCAACGGTATTGAACCTGCGCAGCACTTATGGACTCCACCCAGGGACCACAGATGAAAATTAGCTTTTTAGTTACATCTGGCATAATATATGTATCGTGCATTGTCCCTGCTCAATAAAAAACAAACCAACTGGTCAGTAGTACAAAAGGCAGGGATGTTTTTTTCATGTGCAACTGACATTCTCAGTTATGATATCACGTAATAATGTCTAAATTGAAACATTCAGGGTAAGCAAAGTATAGTTTTTCATATTTTGCTGTTACTAAATGGGTGTGAGGAGCTCTGAGGAGCTAAACAATTTTACGAAGCTGTAACAGCTGACATCATAGCTCCCGAAAGGCCAACAGATGCATGAAGAATATGAGTGGTCATTGCATATTTTTCATATAAACTCACTGCAACCGTCCTAACTTGGGTGAAATATTTAGGCACGATAAGTGAATGAGCAAATTGACACTGAAAAGATAATTGATTTTTCTGTTGTATCAATATTTTGGGAATTACGAGCACTTAGTGCAGCGTACGTAAGCACAGATGTCGGTGGCGCGTCGCGGTAATCTAATAGCGGACGCGGATCACAGTGCTAATCCCGGGAAGTGGACAGGAAGGCCTGAGTTCTGCTGGAATGTTTAGACTACCTGAGCCAGGAGACCGAATGTGTGATGAAGAAATGCTGGCTTTTTCGCTGGTATGTTCCTTTGAACATCCGTCACGGTGAGCAACATTTCGGAGCAAAAGGAAGAAGAAGCTGACACTTGTGGCCAAAGAATTTCTAGAAAGAACTGCGGAAATTTCTAATAACACTACCTCGATTTGAAACTGTGCTGCAAGTACTGCAGAGGAGAAGGTGCTATAGAGGTGAACAGAAAATCTGGAGATTTGAGCTTAATCCAACAGCACCAGCTGATTCGTCTTACAAGCAGATGCGTCCACATCCAAAAACAATGACTTTAGCCCACCACCCAGCCATCGCCTTACCTCCCCACCTCCCAGCCATCGCC